TTTTTTTTTTTTTTTTTCATGGAGACATTGAGCAGGGGAGATTTGTGTGCGGATTTGTCTGGTATCCGCAGGTGATTTATGGCCAGAGAATTTTTTTTCGCTCATTTTTCGGAATTTTTATATTTTTTGCAATTTAATTCATTTTTTCGTTTCGATAAATGATTAATTTCATTGAATAAAAATTCTCTGGGAGTTACTAATGGCCGTGTGAACGTGAAAGATGCGAAAATAATGTGGTGAAGGTGCTATAAACCAAGTTGTTACGAAATAATGAACAATTGAATCGTTGAAATTGAATAATTAGAAAATTCATGCTCAAGTGAAACGAAAGGTGATGGATAATCGTGCGAATGGCTCGTTGTGCATAATCCACTACGGAATTACACGATTTCAAAGTCAAATGTACATAGCCCTCCCAACATTTACAATTGGTAAAGGCTGGGGCAAATTGGGGCGGTGGGGGAAAAAATAAAACTAAATAAATAAATCAATTTCTATTTTCCCAGGGAGTCGACCCCGATAGATCGTAAAAATGGGTTGTTTACAGCCCCTAAATGTCTGCCCCGCTGATAACTCCAAACGAAACGCAATCGTTTGCGGAAAAATCGAAGCAAAAACTCCCGACAAAAAAAAAGACTTGAAAGAGAGAGGGGTTCGGGAGACTGGGGATTCGTTGGGCGCCGGAAAGTTTTTCCCGACGCCTCGAAACTTTGTTCTATTCTGTTCTGTTATTCGAATCGCAGTTTGACAATAAAACGGAGAGGATAAAGGAATGAATAAAAAACAAAAACCCCAACTTCTGCTTGGACAGAGATTTTCCTCAAAGACTGAAAGAATTCTGAATTTTTTCTCCACCAGAACTTCAAAGCTGTCTGTATCGACTCCGGAATAATATCTCAAATGTACCTGAAGACTCCGGTGACTCCTCAATACACAAGAAAAGCGAATAGCGAATCTCTCAGAATTTTCTTCATTTTTTTTATGCATGAGAATCTTTTTCAGGGAGAATTGGAACGAAAATATTCCCTTTGGAGGACTCAATTTCCCAGGGCTTTACGTGAGTTGGGGTTGCGACCTTCTTTTTCTTTTTTTTTTTTTTCGATTTGACCTCAGGCAATTTATCTTACCTTGACTGTATCGTTTAACCTCGTGGTAACAGACTCACGCCGAGGGTAGAATAGTAAATCTACCGGGGAAAAATTTTCGGTTGAAAAATCTACGAATTTTCACGTGTACTGTATCAACTCTATTAGGTGATAGTTTAATCTGTCAATTATGGTAGACTTAGGACTATCACTCGTGGTAGGCTCTACCGATAGCTGTAGAACTTGAATCTACAAATTATGGTAGGATTAAATCTGACAATGATGGTAGATTCAAGTCTACAATGATTGGAAGAATGTATTTGAATCTACCAGTCGTGGTAGAATTGAGTCAACCAGTGGTAGATTTTAATCTACCAATCGTGGTAGATTTTAATCTATCAGTTGTAGTATATTTGAATCTGCCAATCATAGTAGATTTTAATCTACCAGTCGTGGTAGAATTGAATCTACCGATCGTGGTAGATTTTAATCTACCAATCGTGGTAGATTTTAATCTATCAGTTGTAGTATATTTGAATCTGCCAATCATAATAGATTTTAATCTACCAGTCGTGGTAGAATTGAATCTACCGATCGTGGTAGATTTTAATCTACCAATCGTGGTAGATTTTAATCTATCAGTTGTAGTATATTTGAATCTGCCAATCATAATAGATTTTAATCTACCAGTCGTGGTAGAATTGAATCTACCGATCGTGGTAGATTTTAATCTACCAATCGTGGTAGATTTTAATCTATCAGTTGTAGTATATTTGAATCTGCCAATCATAATAGATTTTAATCTAGCAGTCGTGGTAGAATTGAATCTAACGATCGTGGTAGATTTTAATCTACCAATCGTGGTAGATTTCAATCTACTAGTCGTGGTAAAATTGAAACTACCAGTCGTGGTAGATTTCAATCTATCACTCGTGGTAGACTTTGCTGTATCAATGGTAGAGTTTGTTCTCGGTAGAGTTCTCATTATTGTAACCTAAAAATCGTTTTTGCGAATATCTCGGGAACTACCAGAGCAAAACGGCCGATTTTTTTTTCCATTCCCGAGGAAATTTCCCAAGCGTACGAACTTTACCCTCAAAATCTCCGATTTCACCACGTTAAATACCACCATTAAATCCGATACTTAAATTAAAAAATCTACCAATTCGTGATTTCTTCCAAAATCATCTGCAACTAATGGATTTATCAATCATGCGGATTAAAAAATACTGATATTTACACATCATTATATCTACAAATTCTCTCAGGCAAAGAGGAAAATATAAATGCAAAGGGATTTGGTGAAGGAATTGGATACCGTTGGGTATAAACGCAAAGTGGACACACGAGTGTTTCAGTTTGTTCTGCGTCACAGGATGACGAACAGGGGGAGGGGGGATGAAAGGTATTCTGTGCTTCTTGTATACACAACTAAATTCAAACAGTTCAAACCAACTCAAAGTGAGCAGGGGGGGGGGGCGTCAAAGGGTAATGGGGGTTTGTTTTCGAAAATTGAGATTTTTTTTTATTTCGTTTTTTTTTTCATTCTTTTGTTCTTCCATTCTGTTTTGCTTGGTTTGGGGAATGGGAGAGCCAGAAACTCATTAAATTTTGCAACAGGGAGCATTATGTAAAACTAAAACAAGGGGTTTTCGAGTGTAGATGGATTGAGGATCGTAAAAACCAGTGGGAAATGGCTGCTCTGGGCGCTAGAGACTCTAGTTTATGGATATAAAACCGGTGATCTTGATGAGATCACGGTTTTTAGGGTTTCAGTGTAAACGGAGTGGGAGGAATCGAGGCGATAAGAGGTTGAATGATACTTTTGTTCAACTTTCAACATTTTAGAGAGGAAAAATACGACTGGAAGACGGTTTTTGGGGCATATCTCTGGATCTAAGGGAGATGGCGGAATTTTCCTCTAGACCTTGTTTACAGGTCTCGATATTCTCTGCAAAAAAGGTCTTGACAAAAATTTCGCTATCTGTCTCGGATCCCACGACATTTCCCAAAAACTGATCTCAAGTTAAGGTGGGAGAATTGGGCAGACTGAACCGTCTTCAATTGGCAATATCTCGAGATCGGTAGAGTGAAATCCAACGAGTTTGCCGTCATTTTCAAGATATTTTCTTCATCTTCAAAATGAGCTCAGACTCGTCCAAATCGTATCGTTGGGTCAGAAGATATTCAAGACTGAAACTTCTCCATTTTGCCTCGATCCCAGAACAACTCCCAAAAATCCATCTGTCCAAAATTAAAATTCTCTAGACAAAAATTAATCGACACTGACCGATCATCTTCACAACTCAGGACAATTCTAACACAAAATCTCATCTATCTGGGCCTCTCTAGGACGAACAGACTGATGCTGGATTATAGACAGACAAGGGTGTTGAAAAAAAAATGCTGGAAAAATTTCTTGATAGCAGTAGAAAAAGGGTTAACGGTCAGACCGTTATTCCTACCTCCAGTGCGGGTGTTTTTGCCTGAAACACAAACGGCAATCCTGAAAGAAAAGTTCTCGAAAACCCATTCACCCTTTAATCGCTATTGCCCCTCCCTCCCACCCCCCTCGCCACAAATTTTTCTTTCAACGTTTTTCTCACATTTCTTTTTTACCGTCGAAATAAAACGGTAATGAGGGGAGTTTAGCATTGAAAATCGTGCAATTTCGTGAGAGTTTTAGGTTAAACGAGTCCCGCGGTGGTATGGGGGATGCTATTAATCGTGGGGGATGAATTTTTTTTATGATTAAAATAAATATGCACTTGTGATTTAAATTGCCAAGGGCAGTTCGATAATTAAGCAACTAAGGAAATACGTCAATTCTAGTTTCATTTTACGGGGGAGAAAAATTCAGATGACTTTTTTTTTCACTTCGATTATTCAAAAAATTATGGAGTCAAATGTTTTTTAGGGTCAAACGGGAGCGATCGGTGAAGGGTCAAATGCTTTTAAGGGTTTAATGGGAGAGACGGCTGGAGTGATCACTCCGCTCGTCTTTCTCCCAGTTGACCCTCTTGACCCCTCTGCCTGTCTCCCCCATTTGACCCTCAAAAATGTTTTATTCTTCTGATCGCTTCCCTAGTCTCTCCCGTTTGACCCTTTTGCCCCCTCCGCCTGTCTCTCCCGTTTGACCCTTTCGCCCCCTCCGCCAGTCTCTCCCATTTGACCCTCAATAAAATTTTATTCTTCGAATCACTTCCCTCGTCTCTCCCGTTTGACCCTTTTGCCCCCTCCGCCTGTCTCTCCCGTTTGACCCTTTCGCCCCCTCCGCCTGTCTCTCCCATTTGACCCTCAAGAAAATTTTATTCTTCTAATCACTTCCCTCGTCTCTCCCATTTGACCCTTTTGCCCCCTACGCCTGTCTCTCCCGTTTGACCCTCTTGACCCCTCCCCCTGTCTCTCCCATTTGACCCTTAAACGACGAAATTTACTACCGTTCCACTCTCCCAATTCTATTCAATTTAATTTAAATTTTAATCAACTGCGGATTAAAAAAAAAAGCCACTTAATTATCGAACTGTCAGAAAAATTGGTAAAATGGTGAAAAATACAAATGAAGAAAACTAACGTCGGCTGTTGCTTGCGGCCATTCCAGCTGTCCCGTAATGATTTTTCCTGATTAATTATCGTCTTTCTTTCATTCAATGCATGTTTTTTTCTTAATTCATTCAAGCCAACTTCAATTGAATTTTCTAATTTCATCATTGGAGCCCAAAATAAAACACAAAATGACTTTGTATTTCAGTTTGAACTCCAGAGGTTTTGACAGGAATTTAAACTCACCTGGAGCCTGTAGTTAGGGTCCTGCGTCGCTGCATGTGCGGCTAAGAATGGATCATAGTAGACACTGTGAAGAAATAAACAAGAGATCATTAAAAATCGATAATTAATCGTTTTTCATTCTCCTTCAAATTCTCTTGCGACGATTTTGAGGAATATCTCCGAATCTAGAGGATATACGGCCATTTCCGTCAGGACATTTTTCATAGAGAATTTCAAGACCTACAAAAAAGCTCTCGACATCAATTTCGCTATCTCCCTTCAAACCCGAGATATTCCCAAAAAACCCGGAGTGGAATTTCTTCAAATTGACATTTCCGGCCGAATTCCCGCATTTTCCACTTCCCCTCGCATTTCATTGAATTTCAACTGTTTCCCCTTCAATTATCGCCCCCCAAAAAAATTGACACATTAGTTCTCCTGTGGTTAATAACATCACCCAACGTGTGACAATTAGTACAGTGCAATAATAATTATTCCCACAAGACACTAAAACGTGCAAATATCGAGATATTAAAATCGTTCACAATTTAAAAAAATAAATAAAAATACAAAGTGTTTTCGGAGAATTAATGAACTTACGCAGGTGCAAAGGGATGAAGGGCAGTTGCGGCTGCCGCTAGTGGGCCAGGGTTACGCACAAGCGCTAAAGCAGCAGCACCAGTTGGAAATGTTGCCCTGGTGGTAGCACCAACTCTTCCACGTTGAATTGCAACGCCACGTAGTGCAGCGGCTGTAACATCATGCCAAAAAAAAACGGCCTACCTTTGTAAACATATTCACCATCACCAGGAGATAATAAAAAATAATAATCCGGTGGTTGGCTGAAGGTTGGCAGTGGCAACGGCAGCAGCAGCAGCAGCAGCAGTGGTCCACCACTGTAATTGTCTTTTGAGTGAGAACGAGAAAAAAAAATGAAATTGCGAAAAAAAGAGCAATTTTGAAATTTCGAAGATGAAAAAATTCCCCGGGGGGAACGGGACTAGACTTAATCTCCCTCCGTAACGAAAATGTAATCTTCCAGATGAAAAAAAAAGCCCGTCAAAAACTTGGAAGACAACTTTCAGAGCGAGAGAAACCCCAGCAGTCACGAATAGTTTCTCCAACTTTCCAAGACGATTTTCGAATGGTTTGAGACACAAAGTGCCTCACCAAGTTTCAAGTACAGCGACACTGGATACGAATTAGGTGGACAAGAGACTACGAGAAACTCGTGGAGAACGTGATGTCGGGTTCTGAGAGTACAAGTAAAAGTCGATTAAGTGTTTTTAGCCGTTGGAAGGTGGGTTTAGACGTGCTAATGACTCTAGCTGTCTTCACGAGTACCGTAATAAGTCTACTTAGTGTCAGATATACCGAAATAGGGGTATATCAAATTAATGATGGAAATAACAAGTCTACCGGGGATTCTGTCTACTCTGAATTCACTAGTTATAAAAAAAATCTACCGGATGTTGGCTGCAATTTATAGATAAATCTGTAGATCGATAGAGTTGTAGATGGGAAATCTACCGGTAGATTTCATGAGTAGATTTACGATAGAAAAACTATTGATAGATTTTCTATTATAAATCTACTCGTAAAATCTACCAATAGATTTTCCAGGGGGAGATCTGTCCGGGTAGTCTACCCGTTGATTTTTTCATGAGTAAATCTACCGGAGATCTACCTATAGATTTTCAAATGCAAATTTATCCATTCATTCTACGCAACTCTACCCGATTGGCGCTGGGTTGATATATCCGATAAATCTACCAGTAGATTTTAAGGGGCAGATCTATCCGGCTAGTCTACCGGTAGATTTTCTATTATAAATCTACTCGTAAAATCTACCGATAGACTAGCCGGATCCCTTAAAATCCACTGATAGATTTATCGGATATATCAACACAGCGCCAAGCGGGTAGATTTGCGTAGAATTAATGGATAAATTTGCATTTGAAAATCTATCGGTAAATTCTATCAGTAGATTTACAACTAAAAATCTACCAGTAGATCTCCGGTAGATTTACTTATGAGAAAATCTACGGGTAGGCTACCCGGATAGATCTCCCCCTGGAAAATCTACTGGTAGATGTTTCGGATAAATTTTCACCTGAAAAATTCTACATGTAGATTATCCCCCTAGATTTCATACAAATGTACCAGTAATCACATCTGCCGGTAGATTCAACATCCGGTAAATTTCTTACTATCCTCCAATGAGTAGAAATTTTTCTCAAGATCCAGAGCCATCGACATCTGCAGGTGGAAAAAATGAAGAGGAGAGGCCCTCAATTCTCGCCCAGAGGCCAGTGAGAGGTCCCTTCGGTTCAGACTACATCAGGCCCATAAAGGCGGGCCCCTTCAGGGCCAAATATCCACCCAAGAAGCGGAAAAAAATTCTCAACTTCAGGGAGAAATCGGAGTCCTCGAGTGACTCAATCGTGACGGTTTTGAACGGAAAAAAATCCAAGAGCTCGAGGGAATCCAGTGGAAGACACCTGCCCTCTGGGGATCGCGGAAGTGATTGCTACATTGAGGTCAGTTTCGAGAATTGTGGGCTGAGGTTCACCCGAGGGGGTGAGACTCAGAGCTGCCGGGAGGCATGGAGGTGCATCAAGAGGACGAGGTGCTGCAAAATTCTCATCTGTTTGATTTGTGGGGTTGTTCTTCCCACTTTGATTGTTATTGCAATTCTGTTCTTCTTGGAGGTGTGAAGATTGGGGAGATATTTATTCATGTTCAGGGAGTGGAGGGGCTTTTGAGTCAGTGGTGAAGGGGTGAGGTTCTCTCAGAAACAAATGGTTTCTGATATGAACATCCAATTGACAAGCAAGTGACAATTGACTGGCTCTCCTTCACCACAGAATCTTCATTCCTTCTAATTTGGGATATTTTTTGATGCACAACAGGGGGTTTTGTGGCCTACCTTGACTCCAGAGCTCTTCCTCGATGTACAATAATCACAATCATATTGATAAATGATGAATATAAAGCTTCTAATGACGCAACAAATCGTAAATTAGTGGTTCTTTTAATAAAATTATTCTGCTCAAGTGGAGCAGAACAAACTCTCAATGCATTATTAAACAACAGGCTGGCATTCAAAATGGAGGCAAGTGATTAACGAAATGGTCTGGGGTAATTGTCAGACTGGTGAACGTCATGCTACTGTCCTAAAGGCAATATTAAAAATTCATCAGTGGATAATTAAGACACAATATATAGGTAAAACACCGAGACGTGCTTGTGTGAGAGATTTTTGAATTATCTTGGGTGATTTCTAGAGATGCAGAGCAAATTCAGTGCGGGACACACGTTAAGAACACGCTAAACATGAAGAGAGTGTTAGAAGATAATTCTCAGAGGTGAAATATCTAAAATGTCAATTTTTTTTTGTTGAAAAAAAAAATTATAAAAAAATCTGAGTGAACCAATTCACAAGTTCAACGACAAATAATTAATTAGAAGATTTTTAATTAATTATTTGGGGCTTTTGGTGTGCAGAAGACAATTTTGAATTTCGAATTTGGAGAATTTTTGCGGCGAATTTGAGTTTTTCGAGGGGAAAAGAACTTGGATTTTTCTAACTTGTTAAATATGGGATTATCTCAGTAGTGAGTGGATCTAGACCAAAATGTCATAGAATATTTTCTCTTGGGAATTGAATTCTCTACAAAAAAGTTCTTATGACATTTTCTTGTAAGCCCACTGGTTCACGAGATAAACTCACAATTGCAAAATACGAAATTCCAAGTGAAGCAGTTCTTGAAAATTTTGGAATGTGGATTTGAATCGTTTCAAGACAATTTCAGTGACTCTTATAAGATAGTGGGGTACCTCCGTCTCGTCGCTGCCCTTGGGGCGAGGACGAGGGGCGCGGCCTGAGGGGATGGCGTCACTGCGGCTGCTGCTACAGCGGCTGCTGCCGCTGCCGATGGCGTTGCCGCCCCCAGCCAACTCCAGGGCATTGCTGGTAACCTGTATCCTGTCAAGAACCGTTAATTCATCCCTCAACCCTTTGAATAAATCCCAAAATAAATCATTCCTCAAATCAAATTTTAACTGGCGGTTAGTGGCGATCGAAAATGGCTGAAAGAAGATGAGAATCATATTAAAAAAAAAAAAATCTCATGGCGGAAAAAAATCCAAGGTCGAATTTCGCTCTACCCGAATCTACCAAAAAAATCTACAGTTGACAATTCTGCCGGCAAGCATGAAGATTATCATCGGTAGATAATCCGGTAGATTTAATCTGCCAGAAGTTATTGGTAGAGTATCTGGTAGATGAAATCTGTCATTAATCAGAGTAGATCATCCGGTAGACGTAGTTTACCAAAAAATTGTGGATTGCGCGATCTACCAACAGTCATGGGTAGATCATCAGGTAGATGTAATCTACCGTCAATCTGTGGTAGATATAATCTACCATTAATCACTGGTAATTAAGCTGGCAGATTTAATCTATCACCAACCACTGGTAGATTATCCGGTAGATGTAATCTACCAGAAGTCACAGGTAGATTAGCCGGTAGATATAATCTACCAGAAGTTGCTGATAGACGTAATCTACCATTAATCACTGGCAGATCAGCCTATATACGCAATCTACCAGTGAATACCGGCCTCTATCGGCAACCAATTGATAGAGTTGACAGGTAGATTTTTTAATAGAAATGAATAGAAAATATAAAAACTTGTTATCGGCAGAGTCGTTATTCAACCGATGATTGCCAATTGATTAAAATGTTTAGATTTCAGTTTCAATTAATCATATGCCATAGTTGGATTATAATAAGGTATTTGTGGGTGTCAAAAATGTCAGGTTAATACTAATAGTACTTGATGGAGACTCAACGTCATAATGTCAAGAGGTATCTCACTGGTGCTGTGGACTAATTAATATGATTGAACCGTGGGTGTAGTTTGAGGGTACAGGTGGCATATATAGGGCCTTTTCTCTCTTGTGAGGGTGAAGGGGGAGGGGAGGGAGAGTTTGACGTGCTGGGATCGAGGGTCGAGGCCTGGTGGGTACGAAAACCAAGAGGGATGAAGAGACAGGAGTGAGTGAGAGATGGGGAGGGGATTGTGCTGGCAGGGTTGCTCCGAGCGATCAATAAATGCCGCCGCTACCAACCGCCCCCTGGACCACTTCCATCCCTTCGACTCACACCTTTTCAATAAAAAAAAATATACATTTTTTTTACGAAATAATTTTTATGGGAAAATTCATGAGTCGAGGGAGAGAATGAAACAGAAGAGAAATAGTTGATTTTGTTGTATTGTTAGATGTTAATTATCTCGGTAATGAGTGGTGGCAGGTGAAAATGTGATAAGACATTTTTTTTGGAAATTTCATTCTGTGCAAAAAAGGTCTGAAGGTGTTTCGTCCTAAAATCTGCGGTTCGCGAGATAGAAGCAAAAAATTCAGATGCAAATTATCGCGATTCAATGAATTGCGGTTTTTTTTTGTTTTTAATGTTTTTTTAATGTGTAGAAAATGTAATGGACATGGAATCTGTAATGAATGATAATAATCGAGATATCGGGCGTGAAGTACTGAATACGTAATTTCCATTGATAAACTAAACCATTTGGCTTATCGTTATCTTGAATAGACGTTGGTTGGATGAAATTGGAATGGCGAAAAGGTCACAGTATCACTCGGATCATTGATTCGTTCTGGGATTAATAATTTTCGTATCCTCTGGCACCGGTGGATGGGATAAATATAAAAGCGAGATGAAAAAT